TCATAACTATGGTAGGTCATGTCCTATTCTTGTATACCCGCAGATACACAAAAACACAGTACCTTCTTAAAGACTAGGATTTTAATCTCCTGAATTAGAGAACAATTTTTTTCTTAATCTTTGATTTTTAAGGTCAGAGTCACTGACTAGTGTTCTCTACCAGACAAAATTTTTCAGAAAATGGCTACTGGAATTTGAACCTATGGTTTTGCCTAGACATTTTAGCATGAGAGATGAGTGAGTCAGTAGTTAAATCATTCCCACAAATCTGTCATAACAAATTATATAGGAAACAGTCTTATGGATTTAACAGCATGAATTGCCAAACATTGTGTCTTTTCCCTGTGGTCTTGTAATGTATTTATCTTTGCTGTAAAATATTTTTGTGTGTTGCTGTTCAGTTTTTTAAACTGTGGTATCTGATATTGATTGTCTAAAATAAAGAGAATTAAATTAAAGAAAATGAACTTGTTTCTCATATCACAATGTCTGTAAAGCCAAAAATTGGAGTGTCAATAACAGCAGTCATGGGCATCTTTTTTAAGCCTTTGGACTTCACACAGATGAGTCATTTAATTGTGTATTAAATGTTAAAGTGCCGTTGCTCTGTGTGACTAGCCCGTCAATGCTAAGACAGAGGTTTTTGCCTCACGTGTCAATTTTATCTCAATTAGTGTGCCTCTGTGTAAAGAAGCAATGAATTCAGCCCATACTTTTTTCAGGGCATAGTTGTTCCAATGCCATTTAGTCTGGTGCATTATTGAATTTAAAGCTTACAGTGAATCACTGAGAAAAATAGAAGGGATATTTGTTTCCTATTAATGTACATCTCTTGGTGTCCTCTTATGAAAGTCTTTTGTCATTCTGAGTATCTTCTACATATCTGAAAATCTATCTTTTTCATGAATCAGTATCTAAGGCTTTTAATAAAATTATGCTTGCTCCAATCTTTAAGGTGACAGTTCATAGATTTGATTGTAGCCAAAGACTTGGCCTTTTTTAAGGCCTTTCTGAATTTTTCCGTGTCAGGGGAGCAGCAGATGCAGTTCTTTGTGTGGACAGATCAGATATTGTAGCCTGGCCCTGATGCTGAACTGATGCAGAGGAATAAGGCTGAGGGAGAATTTGTCTGAGCAGGTTTCAAAAATTAGTGATAGATTCTTTACTATGTTACGCCTATCTTTTAAAATATATATATATAATATATATATATATTTGATCTAGAGGCGTAGCTACTTAAACCAACATACTTCCTCTATAGTTATAGACTTTGACATCTTTACGCCCTATCCACCATATCCTCACTCTCACTCTTTTTTATCCCTATAAACATTCCTTTTCTCTTCTGTCATCTTTTCATGAATGGAATTAAGAAAGCCAGAGGAGTAGAAAACTAGAAAAAAAATAAGGTGGAAGAAAAGGTGGATCAGTTTTATAAAGAATCTGCTATAGAATAGACTTGACATGTTTGGCAACTCAAAGTCTAAATCTGGTAGGTAAATCAGCAACCAAGTTCCTCTTTCATAGGAATTTAGTCTGTTTTTTTGATACTTGGGATAAAGTGTACATGTTTAGCTTTAGCTCATTCTCATTATGGTGTATTTGAGTTGTAAATATATCTGTATATACACATAAATCCATGTGTTTGTGTACATATATGCAAACATATATATGCAAGACATCTTGTAGATACTGTCTTACTATAAATATAATGCCCCAGTCAGTTAATTTGTTGTTTAAGCTACTTTATAATACCTGTGCAAGTGGGATTCATCTAGTCTAGCCTAGACATTTTAATGCAGCTCTGCAAGTCTGACATTATCCTCAGGGGTTCTTTTATAGTCAACAAAAAGAAATGGGATCCAACAAAGCAATTTGATTCACTTAAAGACAGATAGGTAGGAAAGAGCAGATCAACAGCCATGGGTGATAAAGAGAACCATGACTGCCTAGCAGAGATATGGCATCTAAATTTTACACATCAAAACTTAGCTTTTATGAATCCCAGTCTCCATCATTCACTTTTTCTGCTTACCTCCCTGCCTCTGCAGACAAGACATAGAAACTACTCTCTCGAAATGTCAGCAGGCCAGTCCTGCCTCCTGACCGCTGAAAGCCCTGTTTTACTGTCCACAGAGACCATGTTCTAACCCAAACTGTCTGCTACCTTCAACTGCCTCCACCTGGATGCTCCATGTTTTGCTCTTATGCTTCCATGCAGTTGTTTTCCCATTCTCTCCTTGAGCCTGAGGTTACACACTGCCTCACTAGAGAAAGATTCATTGTTCTATCAGAGCTGGTTTTATGAAACAGAAGCCTTAAAATGATATAAAATAGCTAACAATTTCAAACTGCACTACAATGAAATTCAGTCAATGAATTCACAATTTATATGATTCAGTGATCAGTTAGATAATTTATATGTGCAAATCTGTTTTTGTTAAAAATAGCTCTGGAAAGCTTCACTAAAATTTATTTCCATTTTATCTCCATCACCTTATATGTAGTTGAATGCATGAGCAGCTTATGGCATTTTCAAAAATGTTTCTTAGATATTGCAAATATCAGTTCAATATGGTCAATCATTATTATAGCTGCCTTTTACAAATATTGACTCTCTTGTACAAAAGGAGTAATAAATGAAAAATAAATCTGAAAAATCAGATTACAATAAATATCAGCCTGTACGAAACTACATTTTTTTACAATACGTCATCATCTCTACCCCCTTTTCTTTCTCTAGAGATTATTTCTGCGAAGCAGAATAAAAACCATCATCAATATTTTTGTTTCATGTCCAACTTTAATGAGATTCTCATGAGTTTTTATTTAGGCTAAGGATTTTGCATTGTCCTTTGAAAAAAAAATCAACAACAAAACAAAACAAAAGATAAAAACAAGCAATGGATGGCAAAGAGCTTATATCTGGGCCATATATTTTACATTCAAATTAGTTCAAACTATTCAATGATATGAAAAAATGACAGTTTTATCCTGAAGACATGTAAGTCTTTTCAAAACTGCTTTATACTTCACAGTGCAGAGTCACACTTTATCACTGAATTTATCATTGCTAGAAATTTAAGCACACCTGGTCTTGGGATTTAACAGCCTCCAACTTGTCAAACCTGGATCCAATTTTACACTTAAACACTTCTGCAAATATTTATGTCGTATAATCTCAACAGTCAGAACCCTTGTATGTTAGAAAGGATGGGTAATTCTTTATATTGGATCCATTGGATACTTCAGCAATTTTCAGTGAAAATAAGTGAGTAAATCCTCCTAACAGCCTGAGGTTTCTTTGCCTTCACTTTTCTTCTTTTTCCTTCACTTTCTTGCTTGTGTCCTTTGGCATATTAGACCACTTGCCTTTCCTCCTACTCAGTGTTTTGCACTAACCAGTCAACATGATCATCTCTAGGCAGCTGCTGGTCTAAGTCAAGGCTTTCATTGTTTTGCTCATAAATGGTTCCTTACCTAAGGGTTATCTTTCCTATGCACAGTCTATCAGTTCCCATTTAAATCAACAGCCACTTCAGCACATTAACAGCCCTCTTTCTCCCTTCTCAGCCATCACATTTTCCCCCTGTGCCAGCGTTGTCTAATCGCTCCCCTATGTAAATTGCTCAGCATATATTCCTGAGGGAAAAGTTGTTACCACCCTACATTTTCACCAAGTGTAGGACTCCCAGAATCTGCACCCACAGTTCCATAGCAGCTCATCTGAGGTATTCAAACTGTAGTGTAAATTTTATAGTTTAATTTTATTACTTTATCTTTCAGATATACATTAAATACATATACATAAACCAACATATATGGGCTTTCATTTTTAAACATCTTTTCCTAATGCAGTCCTCTGTTCCATAGTCCATGTCAATTTCTCACTTTCCTTGCTTCATAACATTCACTTCAGGAGCTTTTCCTCTATTCGTCTGAGTCAATACTTTTTGCAACTGTATAGGCTCAAGGCTGATCCTGTATAAGCCTGCTGCTTTTCCCTGCTGCTGTTTCCCTGCAGGCACACTCATAATTCCTAGCCAGCATTTTCCACAACCATAAGCATTTCCTTGTCCTTTGCAAAGGTATCTTCACTAAGATCACAGGTACAAAATGCAGTTATTTTCTTGAACTACATGTTAAAGATAGTCTCAGCAATCTTCCTAGCACAGTCCTGAATAATTATTTTTTTGATATTCTAAATCACCTACAAAATATTTGTTTGAAGCTTATCTCTAGTCATTCGTCTGTGTAACTATTCACTCAGTGATTTAATAAGTGCATCCTTGTATATTCCCTCCATGTCAGAGAAAAGAGGCCTGAGGTGTCTTCTGTAATTCATGTGCATGCACATTGTTAGATACTTGTCATCTCAATATAGTGGCACTGTTCAACATTTGAGGGAAGATCCACTGGTGGATCATATTCTTCTATTCTATATCTGGTGGATTCATATTCTTCTTCAGCAGTTTCAGACCTAGGTGTATATTTCTTGTGCATCCCAGATAAAATAACCAGCACCTCAACAGCAGCTTATTTCTGTATGGGTACGGAGAGCCCAGACTGCTGTGTAAGCACACCTGTGCTTGTTACTTAGGAGGCCACTGACAATTTTTATCTTTCACTTTGCGTTCTGCTTGGTGACATGCTTCATTTTAATCATTTTCATTTTGTTTTTAACTTGCTGTGTACATGGAAGATATGTGAGCACTCACCAAAACATTTTGTTCTATAAACCACTGTTTTATAGTCTTAGAGTAAATGTTGGAGTGGATTACAAAGTCATAGGTCTATAGCTTTTCCCAATAATTTCTAAAATTCTCAGATATTGAAAAATGAAGCAACAATAAGCTTCAATGAAGCAACAATGAAGCAATATTGGAAGGTAACAGTGTTACACCTCTGACAATGAAGCCATTGGGTTCCAAACTGGGAAATAATGTTTTACTAAGTTCATGACTAGCAGAGAAAATGGTAAAATAATATGTTTTACTCACCCAAGTAGTTTGACTGAATGTGTTTTCCATTTGGAACCTGCTTTGTAGGAGTGTCTGTAGATCCCTTCTTTGTAAAGGAAAAAATCTTCATACACTTTCATTATAGCTAAAATAAAAACAATAGGAAAAATAGCAGTCAGTAAATATTGCTTGTACTGTAGTTTGCTCCTTGGATTTTATCAGTGAGATCTTGTGTGTGTGTGTGTGTCAGACTGTATAAATGTACTTTGTAATTAGAGTAATTACTAATTGCTCAGAAGTTCCCTCCTATGAGTAAATTAGTAAAAATATTGCAGCACCTGTCTCTCAAAGGTCTCTTGTCAAATTACTTGGCTTTCCCTGTCATGGGAACTCCTTATCATGGACTTATTCCACTACAGTAAGAAGAAATATCTCCTCTTGTAGCCTTACACAAATTTTGTCAATTCCATTCAAATCCAGTCCAATAAGACAAATCTCCTCAAGGTTCATGCATAAAATCCTCAGTTCTGACAAGCATCTGTGTAGTCAAGAAAAGTATTTAACAGTCGATGTTTATCCATGTATACAACATCCTGTGAAATATGGCAGTGTCGATTTGTATGGCTTTTTCTGAACCTCATATAGAGATCATGAAGTACATTGGAATTTCCTTTTGGAAAAATGGATTTTCTATACCTATATTCATGCTGACTTTCAGTAGAAAAAAAATGTAAAAAAAAGTGGAGCAGAAAACCGCATGTCAATAACAACATAAGGCCAAAGAGCTGATGAACTGGAAATTCTGTGCAAGAGAATGAATATTACAATTTGAATTTTATATCTATTCATTATTTCAGAGGAATGTCAGTTATTTAATTTTTAAGGAAACTATTTTGGCTTCTTTTCTAGTTTGTTCTGCCACAGTACCGTTTGCTTTGTTACTTGGTGGGTTACAAGATCCAGAGACAAGAAAATATTTTCCAGACTTACATTACCTAATCAGAAGCATAAATACAAGCTTAACTCCAGCCTACATTTACTTTATGATTTTAACACACAGACTGCCACACAGCTTTGAACATGAGAATTGAAGAAACCCCATTTCTTGAGTCTTGAGCCTTGGGATTTCAATAAAGTACGAGTTTCATTGATGATTTGAATGTGGTTGGAGCATTTGTAACATATGTGTCTGGTATAGATCTGAATCACACAGTAAGTCAAACTCATGCTGCAGTTTTTTCATCTGCAATGTTTTCAAATTATTTTCCCCTACCTGAATAAACTTGAAGGAAATGAACTGTCTTTATGACCTCTTGGCCTCTATCAAATTGACTGAAAACAAAATACTTTGACAAATTTTAGGGGGGAAGAAGATGGGAAGGCAAAGAGCATCTCAAAACATGACAAACCCACCTACCCAGTAAACTTGGCTGAAAATATTCATTGTTAGTTAATCCACTCACATCCAAAATGTATGCAGATAGCAACACACAGTGAATTAGAAACCATGATTCTAAGTGGCAAGTCTTGGGGAGAATTATATCAGTTAAGTAAGAATAAACAAATAAATTAAATTAAATTAATGCTACAGCTTCTTCCAGAGCTGTCTGCAGAATCAGAGCTCACAGATACTGACAGCAAAAGACCAAGGGGAAAACAGCACAAGCTTTACTCTTGCTTTCTAGTTGCAAGGTCTGGAGTCCACTAGAGTTTTCTATCATGGTTTACTCCTTCCCTCTGCCCCCAGGCTCACTAGTGTATAGATCTAGGAGTTTAATTCCTCTGGATGTTCCTGTACCACTATATCAAGATCTATATGTTCAATTTCAGGAAACAACTTGCTCTGTAGAGTACCTCTAAATCAAAAGCATGTTCTTGGCTCTTTGAAGAAACATCGTACCTAAATTAATTTCACTGAAATGAAATAGAAATTTCTGAAGTGTGTTTCCAGAATAATTTAGTCTACATGAAAGAATTTTGTCTGATTATGTATTAAATCTACACATATGGTGGGTGGGTGTGTGCAGATATGTGTATAGGTATATATACTTATCTGTTCATATATACATACCCTACAAATTAATCAGGAACTAGGTACATGAAGTGCAGAATAGACAGAGCTGATAACTCAAAGTCAAGCACTCAGATGTTTATTTACTCAGTGACAATGTTCTGATCTGGACTGTGACTTGGATGGGATGAGATGATCACACTACACCAACCAGCAGTGTACTGTCCCACATCAAAGACACTTTTTCATTTTCCAAAATGAATGGATTAATTATTAATGAATCAGAAGAGGCAGCAATTTTTAATATCTTACTGTAGCTTATGCATGAACTACCTATCACGCTGAGCTGTCAGGTCCATGCATAAATACAGCAGATTATAAGATTTGTTCTACTATTGATACCTCTGCACAAAATTCTTAAATTAGAATCCATGTGTCTTAGACATGTGAAGATACAAACCCAAAAAATTGGTTGCTACCAGAAGACAAAAAAAAAAGGGGGGAACGCTGTACATTAATGTAGCTTAGTGCTTTCTCCAGATCTTTTTATTGTGGCAGCAAATCAGATACTCCTTTATTTTCAAAATAACAATAGCTGAAATTACAAGTTTTCAATACTTGTTGGGGTTGAAAACTTTATGTATTACCAAAAATGTGTTCACTTTTCTTTTGGTTGAGACTGACCAATGTGACAGAAGAGAATGTTATCCTATGTCAGCATATGTAATTATTCAGAGCATTTCCATTAAAAATGTTGTGGGTAGTATTTAAATGCCCATTTGAAAGTTTTCAAAGAATTAATAATCTTCACTGTGTTTATTTGGATACTGATTTTTTAAAAACTTTTTCATCATTTGTACCTGAAACTGCTAATCACTCGGTTCCTGGATCACATCATCAAATAAAACAATTATGTTTGATGAAATAAATTGTCATTCAAACATGAAAGATGCATTAGAAAGTTTTTAATTACCTTTCTATGTCTATGGTTTCATAATTGCTGAAAATATACATATTATTCTTAATGTTAAATATGCACAAAAATTGAAGTATATTCATCATCAAAAAAGATCACTTTCTACATCATTATCTTGAAAGATTCTCAAATGTTTTCCAGCTATTAAATATTGCTTATTACATTAGATAAGATTAGCCATAAGCACTTTGTCAGTTCTTGAAGAATGACAGGTGAAGGAAAAATGGAAAATAATTTTCAGAAGCTGAGGAACACTTGCAGGATGCTTTGAGAGAAAAAAAAAAAAAAAAAAAAAAAAAAAGACAAATTACCAGATCATAACTGTGACTCAGTTAAGATTCTCATTACAGCAAAAAGAAAATATGGAAAGCAATTTCACTCAGCAATAGACACTCTCAGATATATACTCTCCTTTAGATCTAATTTTCCACGTGCAACATTAGCTTTACCTCATACAGACACTGTCTCTGAAAAATCACTGACATATGAAAATCATATGAATTATTGAGTGGTTTAACGTATCAAATGGCTGAATCTAGATTACTTTATGTGGAATATTTAGTATGGGCAGATTAATTTAGCAAACTATGTGTACATATATTAGGAATGCAATATTAGAGAGTGATCTGAAATTTTATCTTCAGGATCCCATTTTTTGCATGTTCTCAAAATCAATGGAAATACCGTGTTCACCAAATGCAGCACAGGAAAGAACATTTCCCTTTAGCAAAAAAAAAAGTTGGGCAGAACATAGACTAATACTATTGATCTTGTTAAGGCTGAGCTTCAGATTGCAGCTGCCCACTTAACAAGCTTTAAGAAGTAACTTCAACACCATGATGCACTGAAATTAATTATATCTAATAATGAAGATTTCAATAATGAATTGGAGGCTATGATAATTCATTATATATTTGAGGTCAGTAGAAATGTAGAAGTCCCCTGATTTTGCACTGGTCATCCATCCATGAGGTGGACATCTTGCACAATGCCCTTTCCAAATTCCCAGATGATGGCAGCATCATCCATGGCTGCAACCAATCAAGCTAAACAACTAACTCCTTCCCCTCACTCCCTGCTGAAGTCTCTTTATTTCACTAGAACCTGAGTCCTTCATTGCAGAAGGGCTCCTTACACACCAAAAGTTACATGAAGAGGCATGTGCCTCTTTTATTCACTGTGGAATGTAACTTATGATTTCTAATACTTTGATACAAGATCATTGTACACTGATTATTTCAATAACAATATTAACATCTTTCAAACTTACCATACCTTGCACTGGACCTTTGTCCATGATTTCTTCCATTATATCAGTTTCCTGAGGGGAGGGAAGCAACAGCAGAGAAAGCAAGGAAAGAAAATACATTCTGTTAAATTACTTAAAAAACACATACTAATTTATCTTCTTATACATATGTATAAAGATACATAAAAATGTCATTGTACTTGTATTTCCGCTACAGAATATTTAGTTTACCAAATGAGCAAGACCTTCAGAAACATGTTTAAGAATCACTAGTGGACTCGATGATCTTGAGGTCTCTTCCAACCTAGAAATTCTGTGATTCCGTAATACACAGTTCCAGCTGCATAATTTCTTGCCTAATTCCTATAGGACCACAAAGCAATATCTCTTTGAAGAGATAACATAAAACAAACAAAAAAAAAAAGTAGGAAATTTAAACCAATTCTGAAAAGACAAAGGCAATAAAAATGAAAACTCACTCTATACCTCTTCAAGTAAAACAGACATATTTCCACATGCCAGATATTTTTTCCCAAAAGAGAAAACATAAATGACAGGATAAGTGCACAGTATGAACTTACTTTCGAGGAGACCCTGTAGTGAGAGCCACAGCGGTATAGCCGATTGGATTCTTCTAAGTCATTGGGGCATGGCCCATTTGTATAGTTTTGTCCATATTCACTTGACACATAACAGTGATTTTCACCTGGTGGATCCAAGTGATGCTTCCAAAATGATGGATAACAAGCATAAGATACAACCCTGTTCAGTTTAAAAAATAATATAAAATTAAAAATAAAATAAAATAAAATAAAATAAAATAAAATAAAATAAAATAAAATAAAATAAAATAAAATAAAATAAAAAGAGTATTTTAAAACTTGTTTTATTTCAAGTTTTTAATTATTTTGCTATTGTAAGTTCACAGAAAGAATTATTCTTCAAACATATGAATATGTCTGACAGTTTCAACAGGAAGATGTTTGCTTCATTTAGTATGTATGGTGCTTATGATCAAGTTTCAGTTGCAGTAGTTCTCTCCCCACCCTTCTCTAAATAGAGGTAGGATAGAAAATGTGTCAGCACTGCCCTTTGTCACCTAGCACGTTCACCTCATTAAGAATGCATGAAGGCTCACACTGAATAAGATCAATAAATTACCAACGTTTTCAACAGTACCAATTTGTCAAAAGTAGCTTGTGAAATGTGCATATTAGCAGCAGAAAACTTTTAAGGGAAATGAATCATTTTCTAGTTTTATCTACATTTTCTACAGGAATTTTGCTGAGAAGCTATAGGTCTTTTTGTTTCTTTCAGCTAAAATGTCTTGGAACTTATATTTTTCTCACAAAATAAAGAGAATATTTGCTCATTTTCTTGTGAACTTTTGTTGACATAAAAAATCCTATATTAAATTTTTAAAGGTTTGGGTAAAAATAATTGGTCTGTTGGCAAATGAGTAAATTTTTTTGGTTCTTCAAAGAAAAGTCCAATGCTTAGTGGTTAAGCAATACTAACAGCTTAATTGATAGATACAACAAATCTCTGGAGTGAGTGCACCTCCTTAAAAGGGAACTTACTACCTGAAATACATGGGAGATAAGTACAAGTGAGAACATGACCTGAGAAGGTGTTAAGTACTAAACTTAAGTAAGTTAATGAACAATCTGACAGTAGAGAAGTATTAGGAAAAGCATTTGATTATGGGTTGGTAACTGGGTTGCCTTATCTCGATTCATGGGAAAAATAAAATTCTCTGGAGTGTTGCTGACAGCAAGGACTTTGCCCAGGTTGAAGTACTGAAAAATGACAGAGAAAATGTGAAACTCAGAAGGGATCAGAGTGGTGGGACTTATTGCAATTTTATAATTTTACTGTTTTGCAATAATGTTTTATGCTTATAAAGCCAATGTGAGTATGGTTAAGTAAGGTTTCTTTATCTGTAATCTTCATTTTCCCATCACATTGTTCTTGACAGGGTTAAACTCAGGCTGAAGTCAGAAAGTATAATTCAAGATAGAGAAATTCAAGGAAGCAGAAAAGTATAGGCTTGTGCCTGGAAGTGAACACTAACCAAACAGAGGTATAGAATCATAAACCATAGAATCAGAGAATGGCTTGGTTTGGAAGGGACTTTAAAGATCATCTAAATTCAACCCCTCTCCATGGGCAGGGATGCTACCCACTAGATCAGGTTGCTGAGGTAAACTTAAATGACTGGTAAGCATGTGGCATCCAGTATTCAGAAAAGGTCAGTGACTATCCTGGGAGGATCAGGCCACAGGGCTTCTTCTGTAGGTTTCTGATTATTGACATCTGGACCCTCTTGAGGAAACTGAAATGACAGACCATGCTGTGATATAACAGCAGTATGTGTCTGCTTTCTGCAGTTCCTGAACACATATTATCTACTTTTTAGAAAAGTATCTATATCAAAACATTTTTCAAATGCTGAGAAAGTTTTTGCTCACACATACAACAGATATTTTTTACATATCAATTATTATGAATCTGCATTAATGGTTTTGATTTCAAGGTTTTAGATTTTAGTTATAGAAAATGACTCATTTTTAACAGTTTTAAATAAACTTGTATGTTCTAGAAAGATTATGTTTTTTAAACATTAAGTCTAGTAATGATTGGACAATTTCTATTGTTATGAAGATTTCAAAATCAGAAATATCCATTTACTGCAAGAATGTTGGAGGAAATGTTCAATAGAAAATCTGTGAGAGGAATTTATAGTTCTAACTTAAAGACAAATCTTTGAACTGAAAAAAAAAAAATCCTCCGGATGACACTTCTCTAGGTGCAGGCTTCAAAGACTCAAAGGTATTTAACACTGATGCTGTCAGAGGAATGATTGTCGAAGAGCTATAATAAATCACCTGAGGTTTAAACCCATGCTAATTTTGGATGTGAAAATCTCCAAAGTGCTAAATCAAAGGAGCTTTGAAGAATGGGTTAAGAACCCTCATTGCATCCAAGAATGGAGACTGGTAATGAAAATACGGGGTAGTTACATGGAGAGGTAAGGAGGGGTTTTAATTCTTTACCTTGGCAATACATCAAAACCTTAATTATAATGAACTGCTTCTTCATACAGTAAATTTCTTTCTTTCAAGTAGCTTAACCTGATATATTCAGCCATTTTGACTGTTTGACTAACTGGATATCCTTTTTACTTAAATAAAGCGAAGCAAATAAAGCATATATTTAAAATACACTTACTAACAATATGAAACATTTAAGTAAAAGCATCCAGAATCTACCATTATTTTTTATATTTTTATGAGATTTTGGGACCTTTTGGTTTTCTACATTATAGCACTATGTTTCTAAAAAAATATACACACTTCTATCATGTTGCCGTGGAAGCATATCAGAAAGGCTCTTCTGAGGAACAGAATAAAATAGCTCACTGGAACAGAATATTTTGAAATGCGTAGTCCTATGAAAAAGATATATATTTTAGTAGCTCAACAATTATACTGAACTTACTGAATCTGAAAAAGAATAAAGTGCATTTCCATGCAGTTTGAGGCATAATTAGATTTGCCTGTATTTACTTAGTCATTAGGAATTTTAAAAGAAGAGCACACTCATGCTTCAGCTACTCTGGCATTTTCCCATTAAGTCTTGGTTATAGAGCAATTGACCCTTAGGAGTGTCTTTTTGTTTAGCAAATTGTTTCTGCCCAAACTAGACCAACACACTCAGAAGCTGCAGAAAGCAGTAACTCTGCCTACAAAAAAAAAAAAAAAAAAAAAAAAAAAAAAAAGGCGGGGACTGCCCATCTAAGGGCAATCAGGCTGTTATTGTTTAGGACTGGGAAGTCCTTTTAATTCATTCTGAAACGGCTGAAGATAATCTGATTCCCCAGATTTTAACTGGGGAAAATGATAACTGGGGAATGATAAGTATTTAAGCCACATGTATGTAGGATGTTGTTGTTTGTTTTAAAATGTATTATACTTTATTTCTTTCACTGGGTAGAAATAACACTTTGTTTTATATACATGTGTATGTTTTCATATACATATTTTTATAATGTTTATATAATGTATCTATATATGTAATTACTCTACTCACCACTGATCATAGCATTCCAAGAGAAATACAGCATTGTTGCTGAGTCAGGCCTGCAAAGCAGGTAAGGTGGATAAATACAGCCCTTAGAGCACAATCCCTCATAAGCAGAGCAGAAGTGACTGCAACCCAGTGTAAGAAAAAGTATGACACCTGTCCCTCAGGTGTGCTTAGAAACATCACAGAAAAGAACAGAGGACAAGTGCACTCATGAGATGTAGATCTTCTTCCCCCTTCTTTCAGTCTGATTGCCCCATTGGAGTTGTCACAGATTCTGCATGGATGGGTCTTACATTTATGGTAACAGAAGTGAAGCAAATGATTAACTGGCGTTCTGGATCTGGAACTGGCATTCTGGATTTGTGTAGTAATCCAGACTTGACAACTCATTCTGAAATAGCAATTACTTTTGAATTCTTTCACTAACTATAGGTTTTGCCATCATGATTAACATAATTTAACATAAAGATTGCCTTTAACTCCTTGCCAAAACATCTATTTGTACATCCTGAAACATCAGTACAAGATTAAACACTAAAAACCTTTAAGGGAAGTGGATCAGAGAAGTCCTTGCCATAAGAGTCATAGAAGAAAAATAGAAACAAATGTTAATGGGTTTAAGCGCACATATACATAAGCATATAAATAAATACTAGTACTAGGACCAAGCAACATCCGTGGAGAAGCATCATAAGCCTGTGGTGTTCTCATACATTCTTGGTGAATTCATGTAGTCATGTTTATGTATTTAGCTTTATCAAAATATTTCCTTTTTTATTGCATATATATCTGAATTGAGAATTGAGGACATAGTTTTAAAATATTAGATTATGTTAATAGCAAGTTGGCCAAACCTAATTAAAATAACATCAATACATGTATAATATACAATAATATCAATAATAATAATAAAAAAAATTAATCAAACCCTGCAACTGCTAGGAGCCCAAGCTGTGAAACAGATCAAGTCCTGATTACAAGCAGTATTTGTATTCAAGTGTGTAACCATTTACTTCCTGAAAGTAAAATATTTCTTTCTGATTCATAAAGACTGTAAACTTTAATTTCCATAACCAGATTTAAAAACAAACAAACAAACAAACAAAAAAACACTTCCAAACCAAATTGATTCCTCTGAAAATATGGCTTGTAATTGAGACATCTAAAATTATTAATAACTAGATTTCTTCTTTAATTAATGGGGGAAGACAGAGAGAGGAGAGAGTTAGACAGTAATTCAGCTCCTCTTACAGCAAATCTCACTGTAAACTGTTTGCTCAGTCTTTCTGAAAGCTCTCCTCACTGAACTTTATGGAAGTCTTCCTTTGACTTCACTGGCAATAGTTTAAGCCAGCACTATATTTTCCTGAAAATCTATCAAAAATCTGAGATAAGCATACTTCAGAAATCAGAAAGCCAGAAGCTTTAAAACAGCATTGAACACCTGCTGTGAAAATTTACAAGCCCACACAGAAAATCAATGTGTTTTCTGCCTATTGCAAGCTATGGAGATAATGAAAAAAAATATTGATTGTAATATACTGGCTCATAAAATAAAAGTTACCTGAAAGAGTGAGGAAACAAGCACCATTTATCAGCGCTCATTCAAAAAACACTTTGGAATTTATCCCATAAAATTCCAATTTTTCATAGTCAAAAGCAAAATGTTGTGGGGTTTTAGCTATAAAAATGATTCAATCATCAACATCAGTGAATTAAATTTTTGTTTGATTTGTTTTGTTTTTTCCAGGTAATTTTTTTTTACTTTTTTATTACTTTATTTGCTCTTGGTCACTGTCAGAGACAGAAAATTAGACTAGAAGGACCCTTGCTTAGACCCAGCATAACCATTCTTGTGCTCTTCCAACATCTCTCCTCACTCTTTTGATCTTTACATTAAGCTGTTTATTTGTGGCTAGAACAGTTGGAGGAGGATTTGAAATGTTGTCTGAACTTGAGCAACAAAAATCAGGATTTAGAAATATTGTTTATAAAAATGGGTAAGTAGAGATATTTTCATGTTTGTTACTTTGATGGTGAAGCAAAAACTGGGGGTAAGCATGGGAGGCAGGCAAACTTCTGTAAGAGAGCAACAAAGCTGTATGTTTAGGAACTGGCTTCACAGGGCTGAGAAATCTGGATGATTGGCTAAGAAGATGAACTTGGACTACAGAAATTTCTTAGAGCTCTAGATAGCCTTCAAAAGTTCTTGATGGTTCTCACCACAACTGCCCTGCAAATTGTTTATTCAGACAGTCAGCTGCAAGACTGGTAAATCAGGCAAATAAGCTGCAAGTCTGGTGTCTTGAATGAATGAGCAATAATACACATAGTTTGAAATTTGGAGTATAGATACAGATGGGTATATAGCAAAATGCCTCATACAGCTTCAGCATGCCTTGCTTTCTTTATAGAAATAAATTAACTCTGGTATGTCTAAACTGCCTCTGAAGAGTGCTTTGTGTCACTAATCACACTGCTCCAGATGAAAAAGAAAAAAAAATAGTTTCTTGGTATGGGAAGAATCTTATTATTATGGGTTCATGGTGGTTATGCCCATACAGGGATAACAGTTGGGGGAGCAGAAACCCAGAAGGTTGGAGGATTCCTGCATTCTTTAGGGCTTTCCTTTTAAAAATTATCTCCAACTGTTGTGGAGATAATACTGATTAAAATGAATCTTTTATCTTATCTGCACTAGCAAATCTTGTGCTTCCATTCTTAACATGGTAGGCAAGCAAACAGTCCATTGAGAAAGAGTTATATTTACTCTGTAAAGAGCATGAGCTACATATTAAAAGGAGCCTGCTCTTTCTTATAGATACAGAAAAGAGTTAATTAAAATATAAAGCTATAAACTTAATTTATTCATGAATGAAACCTTTGCCTAAATGAGGTGCTAAGAGGCCTTTACCAAGGTGGAATCCATTACTTCCCACTGTAATCACTTACCTAGAGGGCCTGCCACTCAAAACTAGTCAAAACTAGTTTAATGTTGAAGCCCTGAGATCCTTGTCAGATCAAAAATAGTTCACCTGTTTAATGTATTTTGAAGACAAGCAGAATGATCACTTTGTATTCTTAGTGTCTGTGTGAATGACAGTGCTTTGGTCTTCATCTGGATCCCCATGCTACCATGACAACTGTGACGTCTGATGCAGCATGTCTGACATTCTCCTGATCTCTTCATGGTTTATTTGTTTGTTTTTAAAGTAAAATTAAAAGTTGACAGACAGCAGACCTGAGATCTCTCTGTCTACAGGTATGAGCTACATCAAAGATAGAATAAAGGGTGAGAGTGTATGAAAGTGAGGGGAAGTAGATTATGGTATGGAACAGGAAGCACACACAAAAAATAACTTTTACAATGTGAGAAACAGCTGAATTTAATTATAGAGTATATAACATCTGGTTATTGCAAATCCTCCTAGAAGCCATTTCCAGGCACATGAGGGTCAAGGACTTGACTGGGAACAGACAGCACAAACTTGCCATAGCAAATCATGCCTCACCATGATGAGATGGTGAGATGAAATTGCTAGCTCCATGGAGAATAAGAAGAACAGATGATGTAATTTACCTTGCCTTTAGCAACCTTTTCAGTGTTTTCTAGCTGAACTGGAGAGAGGGACTGGATGAGTTGCTTAAAAATTCAATAACTGAACTAGGCTGCCATGATAGAAGGTTGACTGTTAAAGTGACTGGTAGCTATTTACTAGTGACATTCCTCAGGAGTCAACATTGTGTCATTTATATTAAAAGCCTTAACAGTGGGACATAATGAATGCTCAGTAAACTTGTGGAGGGTGCCAAATTAGTGGTAAGTGGTCAGTATGCTGGAAAGTAGGGCAGGGCTGCCATTCACAGGGGCATTGACAGTTTAGAGAAATGAGCTGAAAGAAACCTCATAAGTTTCAGCAAAGACTGAAGCCACATCCTACCACTGAGCCAGAACTTCACATGCAGCAGTACAGTCAGGGCACCACCTGAAAAAAGCAGTTTTACAGGAAAGTATCTGCGGTCTTGGTGGGCAATAAGCTAAACCAAGGTCAGCAGTGGGCCCTCTTGATAAAGGTGATTTTGATCTTGCTAAGCAAGAACATTGCCAAGACATAGTGAAAAGTGGTTATATGCCTCAAACTGTTACTTGTAAGGTTACATCTAGAGTACTGTGTTCTTTTATGGCATTCCCAGTAAAGACATCGACAAGCTGGTCAAGTCCAGTGAAGGACCACAAATGTGCTTAAGGGGCTGAAGCATGTATTATACAAGGAGAAGCTGAGGGAGCTGAATTTGTTCAGCCTGGAGAAGGTATTCTAAGTGTTGCCTTCAACTATATAAGGAGAGGCCACAGAAGAGACAGAACAAGACTCGAAGTACAGTGAAAAGCTGAAAGGCACCGATCACAAATTTTACTAAAAAAGATGCAAATTAGATAAAAGAAGAAAGTTCTTTACTGCAAGAATGATCAAACACAGAGACATATTGCAGGAAAGTCTGTGGAACCTCCATCCTTGGAGATACTCAAGACATGACAGAGGACACAGCCCTGAGCAAGCTAATCTAATTTCAGAGTTAGTCATGAGCAGGACAGTGGACTAGGTGACCTACAAAAGTTCATTCCAACCTAAGTCATCCTGTAATTCTATAAATTTTTATATGTCACTTCAAAAAGTTTCTAACTGTTCACGCAGAGTTTAAGGGTTATTAATTTTGCTGAGTCCAACTTGAAGAAAGAAAGTTTCAGGTACAGTCCTTGCTATAGTGTTACATTCTGGAACAATCTTGATATAGCATGATTACAATTTGTTTTATATAAAGACAACTTCTGAAACTTAAATATTCAAGATATTGTCTTATGCAACCAGTTGCTTTCTCAAGGTCATTTAACATGAAAAGCCTGTATCTCTGATAGAAGTATAGATAAAACTATAGAAGTTTTGAGTGCATTTATGATATTTTCCTAGACATAAAAAAACAAAACAAAACAAAAAAACTTGTATTGCTTTTCTTGCTGTTAGAGAAGTTACCTTTTTACTCCATAGTATTATAACTAATGACAGCATCCAGATATAATGAGCCTTGAAGAGGAGATGGGTGGTTTAAGAGTTTTCTCAGCAAGAGCTCCTATCTTTCTAATTCAAAATAGTCTTCATTTATCTCTTTGGAAATGATTCATAGCTCCTGGGCTTCAATAAGGTGTTTTAAAGAAGGTGTAAACCAGAAAAAGTGATTGTCCTGATGAGGTGATACAAGGTAATCTTACGTAAGCTGACCTAAGACAGAGATAAATGTTTCTATCTTGAAAGTTCAGAAATCATCATTATCACACGTGTAAATTAAGTGACTGTTTCAAGTTAAGATAAACTAAACAGATAAAAAATTTACCCATGTGTTTTCAGATATCTCCAAGCACCATCAATACTTCCACCATTACATCCATGCTGATTCTTGGTATCACAAGAAATCAAGTTCTGAACAGAAAGGTTGTCTGTGATCTCACCACCAGAATGAATTGCTATTCTATCTGCTGCAACACCTGTTTTGAAAGAAATTTTGTGTTATTAGAAACAAATAATTACTTACTGCTTTTTAGTAGTTACTGTGAAAGTGTGACTGAAATTATAGCATTATATTTTCTGTCTGTAAATATTTTTGCAAAAGAATTTGGTACTATCTGTCAGAATCTTAAGAGAGTTGTGAAACTGCAAAGCACCATGAGCAACTTCACTGTAATTTTATAAATCAATAGATTTACCAAATATCATCAAAACTTAAATATAAACATTAGATGAGACCTATAGAAAATATAGTCTGATAATTTCTATGTTTGTACATGAATATTCATCTACATTCATATTCATCTATCTTCAGCAGAAGATACAAATACTCCCCACATCTCTTCAGCTGAATTTCCAAGTTCCTCTTCTTTCTTTTTTACCTTTTCTTCCTTTATGATTATTCAGGACTGAAAATATGTTGTGTTGTTTTTTGGTTTTTGTTTTTTTGTCTGTTTGTTTGTTTGTTTTTTGGGGGGAAGAATATTTGGAATTGCTCATATTAATATATAAATATGGGATTCACACAAAACTACTTCCAAGATAGTCACCTCAGATGTCTGAACTAGATCAGGTAGTCACAATTCTAAGTACTTACATATTTATTCACAGGTTTAAAGGCAGATTAATTAACTAAATTGTAAGTGAAATCAAATGACTTCTTTGTAATGTTGTTATTTAAAGAAGAAACCTTCACCCATGAGGACCCACTGGCCGGATCAAGTAATAAGGATTTATTTAATATTTTTTTCTCTATCTTTAGATATCTTAATAGGTACTGAGACTTATTGCAGTATGAGACAACTGATTACTACATTTTATATGGGAAAAAAGACACAAATACTCATGTCCATTTTTCATAAAACCAGAGGTTATAACGCATGATTTTGTTATTGACATGTTTTTATACATAAACCTTGAAAATAATTTCTTCCACAAATATCTGACCAATTTCAGGGTTTTCATCTCATAGAATCATCAAAGAGATTGCACCTAATGTACTTGAATAGCAAGGGTTAGGCAATGGCAAATGCAGATATGAAAGTATATGTATAAAATGATGCCTTCTTGTTTTAAGCATTCAAGTTGAGCATGCAGTTGTGCAAGCAAAGAATGCAGATTTGTTTAAAGTTACTCCACCATTTATGATAAACTTTACTAGTCCATTCATTTGCTATTTTATGTCATCAAAAATTTTCATATGATACAGAAACTTATGAAAAGCAAAGAAAAATCTCTACCGCTTCTATGGGTTTCTTTGTCTTCGGGACATTTTAGAGGAAGAGGTGTAGCAATTTTAAACATTACTATTTGCTGATAAAAAGTTAACAGAAAATGGAAATTTTCATTGCTAAATGAAATTACTTCATTACTAATCACCGTACATTTTCATTACACATGTAACCTAGAATTATATTTTTAAATGGAGGTAAAAACATGAATATTACTTGCAGTTGAAAAAGCCCAGGATGCTCCACAATTTCGTTGATCCAAAGGATCGTGAATCCACTCAGGCCATGCATAAGTGGCTGCAAAAAACTCAGGAAATTTTCCTTCCGGAGGTGAACTTCCCTAAAACAAAATGTAGGAGATCTGTATTTGCTTCATTTCCTACTTTTGCCTTCAATATCTTCCTCATTTTGTTTTAAAAATTCTTAATGTTTGATTTGAGGAAACCTAAAGCATCGGCATCTGTGGCTTTCCAAGCCTCCACATGGCAACCACCCTGTCTGTGTGCTGAAGCTGCCTTGAGAGCCAGAGGCTTCTGGCAATGCCCTGTCTGAGCTGGAAAGCTGAGCTGCACAGCTGCCAACCTGAATAACCTGTCCAGTTTTCCTCTGATTTTTATCTCAAGCAACATTTCCCTACAAAAGATGTCAGTTATGGCCCAGATGGCATTTTTGGAAGAAAAAGCCATCTGTTGCAAACAGTAGTGAAGTCAGGTACCTGCTACTCTATTCTTCTTGACATGCTTTACATATTTCCACATGGCTGGCAATAGGAAATTCTGGTTACTAGTGGGGAACCAGTAGAGTGTATCATTAATTCACCTTTTGCACAGAGCTTTTTCAATTTCCAGCACTTACTTTCATTCCAGAATGAAAAGCCGTGACTTTCTTTCTGGTTTGCAATCTGATGTTGAGCTGATGAGAATTCATGGCCTGCTTAGTAAAGCCATTTGGACAGCCATTTTTGGCATTTTCATCTCTCAGCTTTAATTTATGTCCTCCACATTTTGCACAAATACCCACATATGCAAGAACCATCTGGTACAACTGCTAATAATCTGCTCTATGTTTGACATATCAAAATCATTGACCTATTTTTTTAAATTGTTTAACTTTATGGACTGATTGCTTCTGCTGCACAGGGAAATAGGAATGGCTATACAAAACTACAACATTGGTCCATCCAGTAGCAATTTGTCTCAAACAATTGCTTGTAACATCTGTTCCAGAGGAAAATACAACATACAAAATATGATAATCTGTTCCCAAACAAAACATTTACCATTTTTTCTTTGCAGGCTCGCACCCAGAAGTACAAAATCTTCTATCCCGGTCAAAATCCTTTATTTTATTTTGGTTTACTTATCCTTATTCTTCTAATTCTGTGTGTCCTTGCTGTACTATTATTCCAAATTGCTTATGTGACTTACAAGACTAAGTAACTTTTGCTAAGATGACTTGCATATTTGTGCCCAGTTCTTTCAAGCTATCTCAGGACTCTTTGGCAACTGAACTTTACCACTTTGGCGGTGTACAGATAATTTTGTGGCTTATATTGAGAAACAACAACATCTCCATTGAGCTTGTACACCCGGATTTCCTTCCCACATAAAACCAATTGTTGAGAAGAAATGTGTGAGAAAAAAAGGAAGCTTGTACATCAGGTCTTTATCTGATATTTGACTAGTATACAGCACTTACAGACAGAATGATACAGTCTGTACATAAACCCAGATTCAGTAACTCTGAAGTGCTTGAGGTTTACCACTTTAGATGCAGGCTGTGAGTCCTAAATACCATTAGTCATTTTAAAAATATATTGCAATCTTGTATGTCACTTATGTTCTTCCGAAAGTTTTACCTTCACACATAACAAACCAGTAATCTTAGTCTTACTAAGATTTTAATCTTAATACTTTCACTAATTGCTTTCAAAAGCCTGCTTCCTTCAAAAGCTTGTTAGAAATATGTGACTTGCAACCGCAAACGTCATGCAAAAAATAGCTGCTAAGCTAAAGATCTTGCTAAATTTTCATTAAGTTAATTATTAATGAACAAGCACAAGCACAAGATTTATTTTGAAGATCAATCATACTGGCAAAATCACAGATAAATAGTGTTTCATTTATTTGATAAACCTGCTCACTATCAACAAGTAGACAAATAAAAGTTGGCAAACATTGCTTAGCATGCTTGCCTGAGCAATGACCATTTACAGTCCAAATGAGGTAGTTGAAAAAAAAATAAAAAATTAAATAGACCTTTGGTCTAAGCCAATGTGTTAATTTATATATTCCTAAACTATTGCCAAAGTATTTAATAGCCTCAAATTGTAAATCCCAGAGCAAATCCCTTATTAACCCTCAGCCTTGTCATTTCAAAATGCAAGATTGTCCTGTAGCCAGAAACATTAGCTTTTTGTCTGAGAAATTGCTACCCTGATATTGAGAAGCACTGCTGTTCTGTGATAAATGGTATGTCTAGACAATTGTTTCTCAATGTATGCTCCATAAACCACCATTAGACAGTACAAAGCAATCAGAAAAATGACTGGCAAACTATTTTTAAACCTTTGTATGTATTCTATGCGGTGAAGCTAGCAGTCTGGCCAAAATGGAAAGGTAGGGAGACAGATAAGAATACTCAGACTTCATCTATGACTTCAGAAATATTAGATGGCCCATTAGATAAAAAAAGGTTACTGAATTTGCAAATGTAAAAATATTTGTTTTGTTTTGTTTTGTTTCCCTGGGGGATGTTTTTTTAGATGTAAAATTATTTTTAATATAAAAAATAAGAAGGGGGTTTGGACATCACCCTAAGATTAAAAGTAGCTCTATCACAGAGTAATATTATGAAACCAAATTTGTAGCTGGACATATCAGGTCAATGAAACAAATTAAAAACTCTACTCCATGACAAAACACTGCTAAGAAGTAAGATAAAGTGATTAACACAGAAGGGCTTTGCATTCTTGAATTTTTTGAGTCTTTTTTTTTTTTTTGTCCTCATACACAATTGAATAAAGAGCTCCTTCTACACAAAAATGGTTTTGTCAAGCATCCCTAAAACACAAAAGGAAACAGCAGCCCCTTAGTTACCAAATGCTGTAATTTATATCCAAGATAGTAGACCATTAGCATGCTGAAGAAATGGCTTTTATTTCAAGTCAGAAAATGTATTTAATGATAGGTAACTATGGTTTTCTTTCTCCATTAGCAAAGCTAGCAGCTTTTAATCAGATCAACACTAGATAGAGCCAAAAGCTCCCAAACACTAATTGTAACATTTTTATCAACTAACTATGTGACTTTGGGCAAGTGACTCACAGTTTTCACACTAGCAAAATGGGAAAGACAGTAATAATCATAGTGCCTATTTTATCCACAGTAAGTAGTACCTTGGCCTGCAGGTAAATTAGTAAAACAAGTCACTTGAAGGCCAAGCCATTAAAGTTTGAGAAAACCTCTGAAAAAAAAAAAAATATATATATATATATATATTAAAAATCATCATTTCTGAATTCTCATCCTTTAGAGATTTTTACATGTTTCTGAGCTGTCACCTGGATACAGAAGCTTAATGGAAACACTTTAATAAATACTCACTTTTTTATCACTTAGTTGTTTGTAAATGTGTTTGTATGCTTCACAAAATATCAGTTACAGAAAATTATTCATGGAAGGGGAAGCCAAAGCAAGTTTATCTGAAAATCTAGTAAGACACATATATTAAAAAGTGCCTGGGAGTTATCTCCATGACTACTGTTGGTCTGCCAATTGGAAGAATTTGTCTCCATCCCTGGTGAGCCTGATCCATGCTATGATCTTTCTGGATCATTCAATGACAGTAGATATTGGGCCAGCTATGAAGAGATGATTTATCACATCTTTACCCAGTGGGCCTTTAGGTTCTGATAACTGCTGATTCACATGGAATCACCTACTAAGGTGATTAAAGTTTGGCTTAAGGGAATAAAAGCATGTTTTTTTACATTTCTGGGAAGTATTAAAATGTGGCAGATTGAAAATTTCCCGAGGCAGAATAATGACACTTAAGAGCTGATGTTCTTGAAAACTATAGAAGAGGACAGAATCAGGGATATTTGGAGCTTCACAAGAAGTTTCAGAGAAAAAACATTTTTAAATCAAGAAAATACAAGACAGAAACCACTAGGGTAGGAACAAGAAAGTTTTAATACTTCTGAAGAGAAACCATAGGTAGACAATTGGCTCCTATACAATTCAGAATATTTTTTTTTGTAAACTCAAAAAATTCTCCAGAAGCTGGGAAAGACATACAGAGATTATTAATTTAGGTTTTTAGCTTTGGTAAGTAGAGAGAAAGATTTCTTAGACTCCCGTGCAAAGCATGTGCTTCCAGCAACATTTATGACTTTCTGAGGGTTAAATGGAAGAATAAATAGAGCTGGATTTCTGGAGAAGAATGCATTCAGGCTGTTAGGGTTTCTGGCAGGGCCAAAGATATTTGGGCTGTGGCTCACAGATTTTGTAAAAATAGAACTGTTAGACAGCATGTGCCTGAGAAATGTTTCAGCAGAACAAAGGCTGTAAGTACTGCAGCAGTCAAAGAAGCTACAGGTAGCTTAATAACAAAGATGCAATAGGCTAGACATAAAAGAAAGCCTACTGTATTCTGGGCTACACTGAAAGAAGCACAGCTACCAGATCGAGGGAGGTGATTGTTCCCCTTATGCTCTGCTCTCGTGAGACCCCATCTGGAGTGCTTCATTCAGCTCTGGAGACCCCAGCACAAGGAGGACATGGACCAGTTAGAGTGAGTCCAGAAAAGGGCCACAAGGATGATCAAAGGTCTCAAGAACCTTCCTATGAAGAACTGGCACAGGTTGCCCAGAGAAGCTGTGGATGCCCAAACCTGCAGGTGTTCAAGGCCAGGCTGGATGGGCCTTTGGGCAACTTGGTCTAGTGGGAGGTGTCCCAGTCCATGGCAGGGGCATTAGAACTAGGTGGTCTTTAAGGTCCCTTCCAACCCAAGCCATTCTGGAACTCTAACATTGATACGTGAATAATGGTGTACAGCTTCCCAGTTGATACCATTTTCTTTTGCTCCTCCTTGTTGAATGTCCATGGGTATGACTATGGCTAGCAGACTATCTCTGTGGCTAGGAGAACTATTCTGAGAGTTCCATATACAATATGGAAGCATTTAGTAGAATAATAATCTTATAATTATTCCAATAATGAATATATTTTTTAAAAAATCACCTGATACTTACTGGAATTTCTTTCATATTCAGCAAAGAATGAGATGGAGGTAGTGTGCCCAGTCGCTTTTTGAAACCTTCTTCCAATGTCATTCCCCAGAATTGACTGTAGTTGTCAGCTTTCCATCTTCCTCACAAACAGAAAAGAAGCAAACAAAGCCACCTTTGAGATATTGCTCATATGAATACCTTGCTCCTACTTTATAAGAGCATCTCTAAAAATAACATCCAGAAATAAATGTTTCACATTATGTTTTGAGACATTCTATTAGATATGCATGAGACAATCTTTAGTACAGGGTTTTCACTGCAGATAAATTTAGGCTGGAGCAACACAGCAGGATATGAAAAGTGATGATTTGAGGTCAGCATTGTGTCAGCCTGCAGCAGATGAGCATGCAATGCTTCAGAGAAACACTAGAAAATAAGGTGCTCAATAAAAACAATTACAGTTGTCTTGAAGTTGTGCTCACATTATGCTTCAGATCAGATGCCAACAGAGAACTAACAGCTTCACATAATGGGTTACTTTGACTTCAAGCTCTGGTGCACCAGCAGTGTTTGTGAGACACTGTTTAACCACACAGAAAGCCCAGCTGTTCTGCCTCAGTTTTACATTAACATTCAGAAAAAGAAACATTTTTTTATTATTCCCTCCCTACTCTACCTGAGGAAGGTAGATTAGCCTCAGAATCTAGCACTGACCCTGAAAACTATATGCACAACATAAAAAAAAAAACTTACATTTACACACTTTTTGAACAAATTGAAATTGTTTGTATTATTGGAGAAGGACTGAACCACAGGAAAGAGCATTCTCTTTATTAATTTCTTTCTTGCTTGTAAACAGAGGTGAGATTCATGTTGCCCAAATGAGAAGCCTCATCACTCTTGGTCTGCCTGTCCAGTGGAGAATATGGACACCTGCAGAAGCTGGGTCATATCTCAGGTGGACTAAGCCACTCTGTGGTTATCAGGCTCCAGATGCCTGACTTAATTGTCTGTCCTAATTCAATTGGTTTGAAGCTCTCCCATGAAGATGAGCTACATGTTCTAGTACAGAGTGACAGCTTGAAATCTGTGCACCTGTGTATGTTTCATTGGTGAATTTAGCACCTCAGCTGTTGGGGGGGTGATCACTATATCTCCGTCTGTAAATTACCAGGAGGCTCCCAAGGCACTGCTCTGATACCAGGGTGTCCTTCTGCACTACTGCACTGCAGGGAGCAAGAACTGGTAACAAGAAAAACACTGAACCTCACAAAGTTCTGATATCTTGGTCCTTATCTGGCCCATTCTCTTCTCTTCCAACACTACATAGAATCCTGGCATGTAGAATGATATTCTTAAGGGTAGGTACCAAAAATAAATAAATAAATAAATAAATAAATAAATAAATAAATAAATAAATAAAATCTATCCTAAGCATTGAAGTGAAGAATAAGGGAAGATGATCTAAAGACCATTTTGTGAGGAAAAAATAAAAAAATAAAATCATATGCATTTTGGAGACTGTATTAGATAGGTGTTTACAATATTATCTCTTACTAGCATGAGACTTCCAGTATCTTTCCACTTAAAATTCTATAATCTGCCAGAGATTTAGAAAAATTTTACAGACGCACATTTATTACATTTACTATCATAGTCATGGGATGTAATTGGGGAAGGAGAAGACAGAGAGGAGCACATAACTTCTAATCTGCACTTACATACTATAAGCAATAAAGTAGATTACAACAAAACCTTAAAATAAAAGTATTCTCACCCATAATCTCCAGAATTGATGTTCTGAATCAAGTCTGGGCGAACAAGACATACTTCATTTGAACATTTCCAGTTACTTTGGAAGCATTTGCTGAAAGGGCAAGAATATCATTGAGCAGAAAATAAATTGTCAAAGGAAATATATGCACTTTTACAGCAGAAGGGAGGGGGGGAACCTAAACTATAAATGTCACAGTAATTACGAAAACACAATTTTACTTAGTGTCACTTCAGTACCTAATGAATCCTAATTGGAATGAGGTGGGAAGGTTTACAGCTTGTGGAAAACATCATCTTTAAAAAAAATAATAATAAAAAAAAAATAAAAAAAAATTGCTTCCATCTTTGTAAGGCCAAGCCTCACAAGAAAAAAAAAATAGAGAGAAAGAGTTTATCTCTAACTTTGGAAAACCAGAAAGGAGCTACATGGTTGTAGACACTCTGCTCCAAAGACCCTGGGACAAGTTCAAGGTTGGTGGATGCCACCAGAGCCCAATGAGCTGCCCTGGGTTTTGAGGTATGGGGCCAGCTTTTGGAGAGGAAAAGCAGGTAGGGCTGGGGCAGCTGACTGCCATGGCCAGCAGCAGAGCATCCTGTCTGCTCCATGCAGATGTCCCAAGGTGGGGAATGGGATGTTCAAACAGTTCATCCCTTTCCTACATAAATTATATATTCTCCCCTCATGGAATAAAATTAGTGCTCATCGTTTCTGCCAGAGGAAAACGTTTAAAGATATTCCCCAAAATTTGAATGATATCGGTTTTCTCTGTATTCAGGTCAATGTCCAGGTCTATGCCAAAAACATTTCCACTCATGTCAGACCCAGCAGATTCAACATGGATAGAACTAGGCCAGTGGGGAGGAGACTTTAATACTCTTGGTTTTATGTCTTGATTAGAAAACCCATTGACCTCTTGCTATTCTTCCATGTTGGCTGTAGTTTAATTCTATAACATCTTCATACAGAATTACTCTGCCAACCATTGCGATTTGATTACATTTAATATGAATTTAGGGATGCTCACTAACATAATTCCTGTTTCATGACATATGCTAAATTAAATTCAATTTGCTGTTCTCTGAAACATTACCAGGAATTGCAGTTGTCTTTAATTATTGTTCCTTCTCCGTAATATCGGCCGTCTTTATAACAACCTGCCAACATAACATATAGATATGTAAAAAAATATTTTTTCTTGAACTGAATTAATTCAAAAATTTTGCTACTATTGAATTAAAAGGTTGTATGCAGTACACATACTTTATTTAGGTGAAATGAAACAACTATTTCCATTTTTTTTCCAGTAACGAAGGCAATTTGGTGAATTTTATTTTTTTCCCATTTACATTATTATTCATACCAAACAAAATCGAGAACAGATTCAGAACACTCACTGAAAAGTGATTATCTTACATATAAAGAACAACACAAATAAAATTATTTTCTAACAATAAACCAATACATTTTTAATAAAGACCATTTTGAATAGGTAATTAAAATAGAATTCAGTTTTTCCAGTTATTAATTTTTTTAAAAATAATATCTGTTTCAAAACAGGTGTCATATTATGTTATTTTTTCATGGCAGAGTTTAATTTATTTTTTAAAAACAAAGAGATCAGTTATTTTTAAATACAACACTCCTATGTACATACCTTTTTTTGATAATAATTCACCGAGAAAAGACCTTGCATGTGTTATAAGATCTTCCACATAAACATATTCTTCAGTGTACTTAAGTGCCAAGACTAAAAGAAAGATGCCTGCAGTGGGCTTTGGATCAAATCTATAATAAATATAGTATAGTTATCATATGGGGCTCTGTTTTCCAGCCTTTTCTCATGTTTTCTCTGCAGACACTGGTGACCCTAAAGGTAAAGATTGCTTCTTCCCCTAGTAAAGGAATTGGAGAAAGGAAATCCAAACTTTTATTTTTATTTTTTTCCTTCTCTATTTCAAGAAGCTTTAGCCTCTTTATTCATATTTCATATGAATAAAATGTTGACTTGCATTAGCATTATATCATGTTTTTTTCTTTTCAAGCATAAGGAAAGTTATTCTCCATCTCACAACGAGGAGTAGAGTCCATACACATTCACTCAGCAACATAGACCTCCTTTACTGACACGAGAGAACTTCATACCAAAGTACAGAAGTGGACTAGAACCAATTAGTTAATTATAAATGCCTATTTTGCCCTGTTAGCCATACAGCAGACTACATTAACTAGTACAGACATATTTCACTAGTACAGATTTCACCCAAGCAGTCCGAGGTCCAAAGTATCTGCTCTAATTCAATTTCTGCTAGGAATTGAGACATTTTTCAGAGAGTATACAAGGCAAATTACTTGGGTGTCACAGTTTATCATAGTGTGCCCCAGTGCCAGCATCAGACAGTAGCTGGAAGGAGGCATAGAGCAAATTATTTAAAATATAACTAGGGAAGGAAGTATTAAAGCAGTGGTCTCAGAGGCAGGATGAAGTTTCATATGAGCTCAGCTAGCAGCCTTCACAACCCATGCCTGAGAAAAAAAATGCAAGCCTGAACAAGTATAGAAGAAGCTTTCAAAAGATATATGCTTAAGGAATAGAAGATTAAGAACAGTTTCATTAGCCTAACCAAATTAAGACTTGAAAGGCCAGGAGTGCTGTCTAAATTTGTCTAAGATATCAGTGTCAGAGTAGAGATGTCTAAGCTAAAAGACACTGGTTGCATAAGAACAGAGGCAGTTTATATGGCCATGAATATATTAGGCTGGAATATTAATATAGTGGGAAATATAGTGAGAAATATGTGGGAAATTAATTCATTTGAAGATGCAGCCTGATGACTTCATGGGATCATATGGTGTGAAAAGCATGATAGGAATGAAGTGGACGTCATAAACCTGGACTTCCTTCCTGGTTCAATGTTCTCGAGTTCCTATAATTGTCACCTCATTTGCCCCACTTTTGTTGTAAGTAGTCTTGTAAGTGAAATGTTTCCAGATGTACACACTTGTAGGCCAGATCCTGACTGTGTAATGTAAAATCAATTAGCAAACTCTCTAGGCATCCCTTTTATACCACTACCAGTGTGAGAGTTAGTGTACTGACTCTGATAATGCTTCTCGTACCATCAGAGTAATTGAAACAAAAAGAATAAATAATAAATGTATTCTATAAATAAAACTCTAAAATTCTCCTAAGAATAGTAACAACAAATCCAGAACTTCTATTCAGTGCCTAAGACAAAGTCAAAGCAGTTCCACACATTTACATCTGGAGTCCTCTGCATGGTGCAGACAGACACCGGGTGTACACAATAGCTCACTGCTGTTGTGCACCAAGTCAGTATGCTGGGATGCACTGAGCAGTTTTATTGCATTTCATTCTATCCCTTGTAAAGTACTGAAGTTTATTGGTTTATTTAAAGCAATATGACTCAGAAGGCACTGAAAGCAAAACCACAGGCAGCCAAAAGATCAAAATCTTCAAGGTGAAATGTACTTTGGTGTATGTGGTCTGGTAGTTCTTAAATAATTCTTAGCCAAAGGCAGAAGCACAGTCTCAGTTATTAAAAGTTAGCCAATATACTTATGGCATTTCTAAAAATGCTTCATAGTTTGCTTAATCTTCTGACAGTCTTTTTTGTTTCTTCATTTTTTTCTTCCAATTTCATTCTTTGCTCCCTGTCCCACAGTCATTTCAGTTCTAGAAAGTTCCTTCTTGAGTGATATTTTTATCTGCTGTATTTTACCTGCTTTGTTATTCTCCTTTAACCCCTTAAATTACTTCTATAACAAATATCCAATAAACAGAGATTTAGAAAAATACATGTTTTCTATCAATGAAACACTTTCTTCACCAGAAAAACATCAGCTTCTTTTAATGTGAGATATAAATTAAATAAGATAGCAGCTCAAATATAGAACAAATAAACATGCTTGAATAGATTAAATAGCATTGCCACCTATGTAAGGCTTGTATAACCCAGGAGTTACAAAACAGTGAACACACATGCAAAAAATGGATTGAGAAAAGCAGTGCAAATATTACCCCTCACTTATTCCGTTACCTAAAACTTCTGTTACATTTTTACCTTTCAGAGGTAGGCCTATCACAGGACCCATATGGCAAAATGTTGCAGGTTTTGTAGTAATACAAAATTGCTTACAGGAAGCAGTCTGCAAAACCTTATCCCAAGGCTGTCAGCTCTGGAGCAGAAACAGTGCTCAGGGCTTACACAGAGTTTATGACAGCAACCCCCCAATCTGTTGGAAATAATATACAACAGTGCACCCTAAATAAGTATGGAACAAATGTCTTTATTTACATAAATCATAAAACATTCTTTTAGAGGATTAGAAACACTTTGGAAAATCAAGCTTGTTTTGCAGCGTTTGGCATTTTTGTTACTCCCACTTATCAGATTTTGGCTGTGTGCCTGGCTTAAGAGCACAGGCTCATGAAGAGCTTGTGGTCTGAGTGCTAGAGTACAAATAGCAGAGATATCTCACAGAAACAGTTAATTTTTAAAAGCCATGGTGGTATTCTTGTTGATTTTCAGCTTTTGCAAGTTTGGTACAGTCTTTACGTTTTGAGGTAGATGTGTCCTAGCAAGAAGCTATAGTCTTAAAATTATAATTCTAAAACTGTATCACCAGCAGAGATTTGCCCTCCACAGAAACCATGTGTAAATGATGCTTGTGCATATTTGTGGGTTTTGTTTGTTGTTTTTTAGTTTGTTTGTTTTGATTTTTCAATCTTTAGTTCTAAAGACAATAGACTAAGATTAGAGTCGTTCTGGAGGAACTTCCACTACAAGCTAAGCAGAAAGAAACCATAAAAGGACAATATGCCAGCCAGAAATTCTTGTTCTAATCACATCCCTTCAGCTAATCCTGCACTGAGATGCTGCAAGAAAAGTGGTGTCCCAGAGGAGAGCTCTGGTGGATCTAAGCCATTACAGAATATCTCAGAGCAGTATCATTTAGGATAATCATCAGTTTTCAGAATGATCTGTTTGTACTGATGGGTACAAAATTTAGATCTTTCTGTTCATTTTGTGTTAATCTGTGAAGCTGAGATTGATGAGATCACATTAACTTCAAACTGATGAGGTTATCTCTAGAAAAGTTACAGGTGAAACAGAGGTTCTGGCCAACAGAGATAAGATTGAGCCAACTCTAGAAATGTATCCCTAAAAGCAAAGAAATAACAGGAAGCATAATTCTTATTTCAGCTTTGTAAACAATGTATTTGTCCACTATGTCAATAGGCACATTTTTAGGATGCACACACTCTAAAGATCTATCAGTAATTTTACTTCCAACTATATTTTTCTTGTGGTACACTAATACCAGCTGGGTCTTTTCTCTATACCCACCTGATGTTGGAGGTGGCCAAGGCTCATCTGACCTGGTGGGCTCAACAGTGTTGTCACAAACATCCCAGTAGTCAGCACAACAGTCCACAGGGCCAGGAGGACCTGTGGCACAGAACTGGTCACAGTAACATATAGCTGCTCTGGAGGCAATGTTAAAGCTGCAGTCATCATTTCTTCCTGTGCAGCAGCCTCGTATCCTGCAGGACTTTCCTTGGTACAGACTTCTTTTTAGCCTGTCCCACCCTGCAGAGCCACGATCTTCAACAGAGTAAAGTCCCTGGGGCAAATTTCTTCTAGAGTTAAGCTGCTTTGCCATCCAAACTTCACTTGCAATGCAATATAAGAGCAAGATCTGACTTTTGAGCCACATTCTTCCACCTCTAGACGCCTTTTTTGTTTCTCTGTGCTTGACTTTATCAGCAAATGTCCATTTACTGTAGATGTAATACCTCCACTTACTATTCAGAAACAAATCTGAACAGAAAGCTGCAGACAACAATATTTTATGAAGGTTCTGTATTTGTTAATCATTAGTCAGACATGTTATAAACTGTTTTATTTGCCCAAGATAAAAAAAAAAAAAAAAAAAAAAAAAAAAAAAAAAAGGAAATAAAGCCACAGCTATGTATCCATCATTATGAAACATTGGGTACATTCTTTCGTGAGTAAGAAATTTGTAGTAAAGGTTTATTATGCAGAATATACACAGTCCAATATCTTAGTTCTATACTTTAAGCTTCTAAAATCAAAACAGCTTGAAGAATGAGTACATGGTCTTAGAGGGTCTCTTTCCTCCTGGCTTCATTTACCTGTAACTAATATGTTCTCCATATGATTGGAAAATATACTTAGATTACTTTTCTCCTTCATTCTCTTATCTGATATGCAAGGCTATAGATCATTGACTTTCAGTGTAGTAAACATATCCTGCATCCCCCCCTTTTCTATCTTGTTTCCAGTGATCTAGGTTTCTTTTATATGCTTAATTTTGCACTGTTTTACTGTGTACACATTTTAAAACTCAGGTAATATTCAGCATAAATTATTACCCAAAAGATATTTTTTTAAAGTTCACATTTCTTGATTCAAAATGAACCTGGAAATCTGTGTAAATAGGGTAATAAATACTAACTAGTGAGTCTTCAATCCAGTTTAAAAAGTAAATGGCTGGAATAATAAAACCATGAAGACAAACAGTAGATATCAAAAGACATGCATAACTGCCTTTACTACTTGTTCCATGCTCTCCAGTTTTTTTGACTGCAGACATAAAGAAATATGCATGGTACTGTTGCCAAAACCTAAAAGATTCAGAAAAAAAAAAAAAAAAAAAAAAAAAAAAAAAAAAAGAGCAAAGTATTTTGAAGCTGCTAGCAGAGATAACATGTAAGGCTAAATTGCAGAAAAATAACATTCTTTGAAATATGAACAGATACAAGGCAATTTAAGTGTTCAAAGCTGAAAAAGCAGAGGTTAAAGAAAAAAAAAAAAAAAAGTAATTCTTCCTTTTCCATTTTGTAGTGGATGAGAGGACCCTGAAGAAGGTAATGGCAGGGAACGAAGGGAATCTTTCCCTTTGTGATTTCTACTGGATTGTTCGGTGCTGTGGAAGGTCACAGAATCAAAGGACAGCTACTTTTGAAAGCACAGCTGGTAGCACAGCTGGTCTGGATGCATTGCTGTGAATTGTAGAATCATTAAGGGGGAATGTGTATGTGTGTAATAATATAATACACACACACACATAGACATATGGGATTGTAATACAAATGCTCAAGTCTTTAATATAATTTCTTGCCAGCAGAGCTTTTATTGGACCTGCCTCTCACACTGTCCCTGTCACAGAGAAAGACATGTGGATGAGGGAAAATTGCATCAGACCATGTGATTTTTATTTTCCTTTTTTTGCATGCAATCTTCTGTATGGAAGTCAATAGAAAGGCCAAGGTCAGCTATATACAATTATTGTACATCACATAATATTAAATACACATATATCTTAACCTTCATAAACCTTAACATAAATCTTAACCTTCAGATTTGTTCTGTGCTTCTTGATATTTTTTTTGTTGTTTGTTTTCTTAAAAAGGCTAGGTATCTAGGTATCTCAATCAGTCACTGAGTGCTATAATGCATCAAATATAAGGTGAGGAAGGTTAACCAAACATGATCATGGAAACTCAAATGAAATTCTTGGTAAAAATGATAACCCTTTTCCTTAATCCTTCTTTCTATATGGTTCCAAGTAAAAGGTTCTCTTTATTTGCACTGCCACCTGCAAAATGCAAATCTTCTTTGCTGTTACAGTTCTTTGGACATCATTTTACAAAGTTATATCCTTACTCTAGTGAAGCATAAGAAAGAGAGAAAGCTTCCACATGTGATATTATCTGCCTTTTAAGTTACAGACCTCTGTCTTCATTTAGTTTAGATTTTAGTTTGGTTAGGTGGTTTTCATTGATTGTAGTTGGAGTTGTTTTTTTAGCTTTTAAATTTTAAGACTTGCTGATAATAAACCAGAGGCAAAGGATTTGTTTGGAAAAGAAGTGCGCTAGTTTACACAGAAATGAGCTTCCTTTTAAAGGAACATAAAAATGGAACTAGTGCTTCTGAACAGCTTTGTTTTTTGACACATGGAACCATGCTGAAACTTGATAAAATCTTATTCTCCTTTCTGCTGGCATATGCTCAAATCTTTTTTTTTCTTAAAAAAAAAAAAAAAAGAAAAAAAAAAAACACCGTTTTGTCGTGGTTCAGCAAATATTTTGTATTTTGTTTTCAATAGTTTCCACTGTAAGCAAAAAGTAGCTCTCCGTAAATTGCAGGAAATCATGTGTTGACTTATCTGTAACTGTTTAGGGACAGTTAAATATAATCCTTATTCTCTATTGAAGATTAACCTATTCCAAGCAGACCAGCTCTGCTACTTTTTTGAGTTAGACCTAGTTCTAGGCCTAGACCTAGTTCTGGTCATCACTGTTAAGTACAAAAATGTCTGACTTGTACCTGTTTCAGTACTCTCTGAGGTCTACTCTTGAGCTTAAAAAAAGCCAGGAATCTCTTTAAAGCTAGAACAGGATTATCCCACAACTTTTCTTCCAAAATTCCTTCTGATTTGTTTGAATGAGCTCATTGCACACCCTAAAACCTCATTTCTGATCACCTTTCAGATTAGTGGTAAAAGCCCTGAGCTAGGTGCTGGTTGCTGAAGGTCACTCCCTGGACAGAACTCTGAGCCTACCCCATCAGAAGACTGTGCTGCCTTTCTTTTTCCTGACTCTTAACCAGTTTAGGAAGCAAACAGGACACAAGACTCCAGTCCTCTTTTCTGCTAGTAGGCAAAACTCAGTGTGTCATAAAGATCATGTAATTGCTTATTATCAGTTTAAACTCTGAAATGATATGGGCCATCCCTTTCTTTGAACTCAAATGGAAACTTAGCTGGTGACTCCTTGCACAAAAGACACAGCTGCTTTGTGATAGCTGCAATATTTTATACTTACTACTTTTTATTATTAAAGGCTGCAGTGAGGAAAAACGTTCTGAGCCAACCCATTTCATGAAAAGTATTATACAACACTGTGTTTTCTTTTCTGTGTGGACTCACCCTCCCAAGTGGTGAGTGCCTACATCCTAGACCTGTTTATGTAGAGAAAAACTGTGTGTTGAAGAGTTTTTCTCACCAGCATTTTGGTCTCTTTGTGTCTGGGGCAGGCTGAGAATGGTGGTGTTTTCACCCTATTGGGCAACAGCCTGGCACCTCACTGTTGCAGGTAGTTGTCACAGCATCAAGCAGTGTTACTGTTAATTGAAATCTTTCAGGGCTGCCCATGTCAGTTATTACCATGCTATTCCAAGTTACACGCAACTCAGAATAGAAGTGACTTAGGTGACAAATTTCATTGGTACAGTCCTGCCACAGGGCACTTTTCTACATGCAGCCTCTGGGACCAATGTGTCCACTCTCTCAGATATTTAATTAAACAGTTTCAGGGTCAAAGTCAGAGGCAGAGGAATAGAAAACAACTCCAATTGCCCATGCCAAAGAAACCCTGTTCTTCACAGCTACAAGCACACAGAGTCAGCAATCACAGGTGAAAGAAGATGATATAGTACATACTAGGTGATTGCTACAGCCTCATAACCTTATCACTCTTTCCAACACAACAAATCACTATGCGTGTTTCCTACCTCGGTTGCATCCCTTGGTTGTCTCCATGAAGCAGGTGCCATTTCATTCTTGTTGTTCTCAGCCATACTCCAACATTGCCCTGAGGCCATGGTCAGCCCATTCTGGGCTCAGTCAAGTAAATACATTTGAAGAATGGGAAAATCTGTGCATGAACCACCACATTACGCACGCAGCCACAGAGCTGTAAGTGCCCTCCTCAACAACACTTCACTAGGGCTTGCCAAATGTAGGAAGAGCAGGAAGCTCAGGAGCCCCAGCTGGGATGGAAACCTTGATAGCAGCTCTATCATATCATGTGTCACATGCCTCCTTGGTTATGCTGTTAGTGAGACTAATGTGGATAGATGAGCTTGTGCACAGCTGCACATGGCTTCAGAGAGGTGATGCCTTCAGTGAGCTTATTAACCATACATTGGTTCCTTACCAGCCAGTTAGAGGTGAGGGAGAAGAAAATCTAGCACCTTTCACAGTCAGTATGAGCTCTGAGAAGATGTGCTGGTGTTGCATGGTTGATGTGTACCCACCCATATTTGTCTTGAATGTGAAGTCCTATCTGATCCTACCAGTGAGTGATGGCATCCTACACCTAAAATATTCTCTTGACCGTGGATAGACTAGTAAGTGCAGAGGTAGATGTCGAGGTATTTTCCCAAACTGATTCCAGAAACCTTACCAGGTTGTCCATGTGCCTTGCCTGCAAGCAGGTTCAGAGGTGCTTGGGATACATACTAACTTTGGCACTGTTGCAATGTGAGAGTCACCAGTTCAATTCTAGGGGAGCCAACCCAGAGCAAGCTCATTCCTTGGTTTGTAAAATACTCCATGCCATTTGCCTTGTGGTGAATCAGTTGATCAGTGCAGAAGTAGCCTAGGATTGCCCCGTGTATGGCTAGATACTACTTCTTGAATAAATGAGAACAGTCTTACACAGTAGTCACCAGATCATTTTTGTTCAGACATGTTTTATGATGTACAAAGAGACACTGCCAGGATGACACATGCAGTTTATCCATACGCAGAAGTTATGCCTTGATTAATGCACCCACTAAATGGCTACAATGAATGAGCTACTACTAATTTCCTCACCAGCCAAGTAAGATGTCTGGAGTCTGTTCTGGGCAGGCAAACATCAGTCAGGTGGGGAAGAATTGTGCTTCTTGATCCCAGAACAGGCTGATTCTCTGTGTTGCTGAGTTGGCACTTTCTGATTCTCTGCTCTTAAAGGCTTTTTTATACCTTTAGGCATAGATTTTTTCCTTCTGAACACTTGAGCTGTTTCTATTACCCTTTCAAT